AACGGCTCGATTAGTTCTGGCTTTGATGAAGGTCCGCCTTCCGAAAAACAAAATGTGTTGTGATTGGTTAGCTGTCCCAGTGCGTTGTGATTGGCGAACAGCTTAGATGGTGTTTCAATGGCGGGTCGACGCCCGACCAAGGCGGAGCCGGAGGGACGAGGAGCCCGGTGGAGCTGATGGATTGATGGGTGATGGTGGAGGCGAAGGAGCTAGGAGCCGAGGTGGAGCCACTGGGTCTACAGGCCGAGGCGGAGTCCGGGCCTCGGAGGCTGGAGGCAGAGGTGAGGGAGACTCCAACCCCGTCACTCAACCAAGCGTTCTAACCACAACCTCACCCCTCCCCACCCCCCAACCATTCGAATTTCTGTAGGCGGGAATAATTTGTAATGAAATTCTAATGAGCCGCTTTGTGATATCACAAAGCCCGGAAACCAAACGCTGTAGTCCAAACGAGCCGTTCGTTGTAGTTCTTGAAAAGGGATTTTTAAAAAACTAAATATCTCCCTTTGGAGTGGACTTTGAGATTTGTAACTTTCTAGATCTTTTTTATGCCCAAACATACACACTACACACTGACTAAAATTAAAACAGTGAAAAAGCATAATAGGAGCCCTTTAAGGAACCTATTAGTAATTAATAAAGGATTAACACATCATTTTGACTCAAATCTTAAAAAGCTATTAAAGTAATCATCAACTTTGTAAAATACACAAAACAACGACTAATTTACATGATATCTTCCTTTATTTCAGATGAGAACATTTCTGAATACAGCACATTTTATTCAGTTTTAATGTGTATACTGCCTACATTTAAACTATTTTAACAAACATTTTAGAATCAAGTTAAACATTTAAAAGCAATTCAAGTGTAATCAACCGGTGTCTGTTATCCCGTTTCCTCGGTAGTGGTGCTGGATCTCATGCGGAAGCTGGACTCGTGTTCGGCAGGGAAACTGGTTTCGGAATACGGGCTTCACTCACAGCTGCTGTGACTGACTCAGTAACCTGCCCATAAACAAAGTGTGCACAGCTCTGAGAACATATTTTATCATCCAAAGTATTTAGATTTAGTATCTTTCGAAATAAAATAATTTCTTTTATGCAAAGGATAGGTGTTTCCTTCACACAAAAAGGAATTGGTATGTGTAACCCGATGCGTTAGTTTTGGTGAATGACATCACGTACCTGTATGTTGCTTTGCATAAAATAAATTGATTTACAGCACGGTAATGATATAATAGATTAGATAAAACGTGAACAAACCTGTATTTCACCTAAGAAATGAACCAATTTGGTGGCACTGCGACTGCTCTCTCCTGAAGAGGATGCAAATAATGCCCACTCAGTAAGGGGGGAGGGGAGGAGTTAACACAACACAAAAACTACCCAACACTAAAACAGCCTCATCCCAACAAACAAACCAGCATTTTATCGAGTTTATCTGTGGTAAGTTGGATAGTTATGGCAAGACAGTGGAGGTGGGGTTCTTTTCCGAAGCTGATTTCTTACAGAACACAAAATAAATTATTTAGCATACAGTTGTACTTTTACTCAAGTAATTTTGAAAATGAATAGGCCTACTTATAATTTTACTGGAGTAATATTTTTTTGGGGTAGCTGTACTTTTACTCAATTGCTTGATTTGTGTACTTCATCCACCACTAATAATAAAAAAATGTAAAAAAAAAAACAGATGAAAGGGCCACAACCTGATTATTGTAGTGACATTGTGTAAATTTAGTAGTTACTTAGTTATTTTTCTTGAACCCTAACTAGTAGATAATTAATAGTAGTTCTTCCGGAGGTATGACAGAATTCATTAGTTAGTGATTAGCAAACTGTTACTTAACACAACCATAAAATTATATTACATACTGATTAGTTAACATCAGATGTTATATAGCTGATGTCTGTTAGTAACAAATAATCTTTAATTTGTTTGTATGATGCATGATAAGGTTCTTCACCTTGTTATTTTCATAGAAGCAACAGTTTCTCATTCCATAAGATAACATAACTCTGCCATAGCAAAACCCAACTTAATCACTTGAATTGTATGCATCTAATGCACTTTATTTCGTTATCATTCATGGTATTCATTTAGTTGTTGACTACTCTTGTTAATCTTTTGTTAACAACATTTATTTTATTACACTTGTGTCTTCCTTGTGTTGATAATACAGTAAGAGTCTCTACAAGTCAATGATATTGCACCTTAAGTGAAGTGTGATTTAAAAATCAGAACATCAATGGTTACGTGAATACCACAGTGCCCTAGTCCATTAACATGCTCTGTGATGAGCAGGATAATATCATAAGAGTGAGATCACAGTTATTTGTGCACATTTCTTGGTTTCTGTGGGTGTATTGTCTAATGTGAATGTGACTGTGTTGGGTGGAGACAATAAAATACTTGCATGTGGATGTTTTAAGGATTTGGATTGTGGTGAATTATGTCACTCTTGGAATGTCTAATTGTGTTTCTACCCTTCAATCCTTTAATTCTATCCTTTTTGCATGACTGATCTGTAATGTTAAACAAGGCTGTCTTCTGTTTTAGCAAACAGCAAACACTGTATTTATGAACACAACTGTCATGCCAAAACAAAGAAGAAACTGGCTCACATTTCATTTTCTTTCTCCTAAATGAACACATTTGATCATCTTTATTTTATGCTTAATAGCAGAAAAATTACATTTATTGCATGTTCCATTTACCTGAAATATTATGAGTCTTGATATAGGACATAGTGCCATGGTAATAACCACTATATCAAATTAAAGCCCTCTAGTAACAAATTAAATAGTAACCAATATAATAAATTAAATATTGTTCTGAAATGGCTGTGGAAATTTTAGTCTGTCATTTGACCTTGGGTTATAATTAGTCAGGATTTGGGTGTCTAAATCTCAGTCAACGTAACCCTGATCTGATCATATGCACAAATAAAGATCTGACCAGAAAATGACAGGCAAATTATTGACTATGAATTCAAAAATATGTGTCTGTGGCCTACTAACAAAATATAGAATATGAGGGGGATAAGAATTAGGGGGAGAGTGGGTGACAACTATAGTGAGGAAACTTAAAGTGTAGTTTACTAGTATCAACACTATATAGAGAGAGAAAACAATACACCAAAACTTACATAATAGTTTCAATATCTCAGCTATTGTTATTATTCTATAACTTTTATGAATTCTATTGAGACACCATGAGAAACAGGTAAAGAATCACTGAGAGGAAGAACCTAAATGTTTAGAAATTATTGTTTCAAGAAATCTGAAGCACTCTTGCATTCTCATCTATTTGTTTCCTGTTCTGAGAGCTGTGTGTGTGTTTTTCTGAATGTGTGAATGTGTTCATCTATTTGTCCTCATTGATTTTCTATGCTGAACTATCCAAAATTAGTTACAGTTTATTTATTTAAAAAAGCTTTATTTTGTATGAAAAGGTTAAAAACTGTATTTTAATGACATACAATTTTAGTTTGTCTTGCATATTTTTTTATTATTAAATCAGACAACATTTTAAGCGGTTAATCACCTGTGGGGCATGTTGTCACATTTCACTTTCATTATTTTAATTCAGGGTAAATAAAAAAAAAGTATACACTGTATTAGTGAAACAAGACCACACAGACGTGTGAAATTACACGAGTTACACAAACTAAAAAAGCCAAAAAGTGTTATGTTTATAACTGGAAATGACACAAATCTGTATTACAAACTCCACAGAATACACACACACACACACACACACACACACACACACACACACACACACACACACCA